ACACACACACACACACACACAGGATCCAAAGTGCGACTGTGTGTCGCTCTGTAACTTTAAATAAATCTCCTTGGGTAAACAGTGTTTTTAAGAGTCCGCTCCACTGAGGCCTCCATGACATCTCCTGGCAGACTCAGTGGAGCGAGCTGAGCCAAGGCTGCAACCTCCAGGGCAGACAAATGCACACACGAACACACACAGACATAATAACAGATCAGGGAAAAAGCGGATCAGTAAAAAAAGGCCAGGATCTCGACTGATTTGACCGCTGAAAAAGATGTAATTGCACAGCAACTGTAATACTTCCCTGGTGCTTTCATTTAGTTTTATGAGAAATTTAAGACACTGCACTTAACTTAATTTTGGGGGTATACGAAAGACAGAAAGAGAGATTCTTGCATGTCAGTAGCAACAGTGACTACAGTAAATAAAGGGACTCTCGGAGTCAGTGTCTCAGTGCAGAACTATACTGCCATCACAAGTTCTTTTCACTGCCTCGTAACTATGGCTGGGGCTCAGCAGGGGAAGGATTACAGCTGCGGCATTTAGTGAATTAATTGATTGGACGGAAAATAATTAACTATGTTGATAATTGAATGATTTAAGTCGTTTTTAGATTTTAAAAAAAATCGAATATTTGCTGTTCCTAGTTCTTCAGCAATGAGCATTTGTTTTTTTACCTGAGTGTGAGTTGAGTATTTGATGTGTAATGTTGCCAGACATAAAATCATTATTTGAGGCTTTTATTGGTGAAAAGCGTACTTTAAGCAGTTGCCATATATGATTAGCCTCTGCTGACGTGTAGCACCTACCGGCAGAGATGTCTAATGGAACGATTCAAAAGATTTTGTACCATTCATTTACACACCTACAGTTAAAAACATAGGGCCCACGTTCCAGAATTCATTTTTAATATATCAAGTTGTCAACACTCCCTCCTCCGTACCAGTTGTTCTGTGTATCATCAACATCTGACATCTGATTTGTTTACATATGGTTATATTGTTCTTAAATGGACATATTTTGTTCATAAGAGTTGTGTTGTTTTTATATGCACATTGATTTACTTATTTCCGGTTTTATTTAATCCTGCATTAAAAGCCATCCTGCATTTGAACTTGAGATCTAAAGGTTTAGGTTAAAGGTATGGCCATAAAACTTAGTGTTAGTCAGTGTACCACATACTAAAATGATCTGTGTGTCATTGTGAATGTAAACTAAGGTCAATGTCCAGAACAACTACGAATAAATGTTTTTCTAATACAAAGTTTTATTATAGCACTTTTTTTTAACCCTTTAATAATGAATTAGGGCTTTAAATTACCCACAGGACAATCTGTGCCACAAGTTAAGGCTTGTCAGTTCAAGTATGCTGCTAATAAAAGTGGTATAGACTGAATATGACCCTAAAAACAATAAATGTTGAAAAGGTCACAAACTCAATGTGAACTAACAAGTGAACGCTGCAGAGACAATATTCAGCAGGTGGTCCATTACTTCTGCACTGTCTTTAAAAGTCATTTCAGATGCTTTCACCAACACAGACGTTAGATTTATTCTCTTATCAGCTCGCTGCATATGTCATTACATGCAGGATCTTGCCACAGGAATTTAGGAACTATAAACAGTTGAGCTCCGATGGTAACGCAAGATGTAGCTGCACAGGTGGATCTCCTCAGTTTCTAACATAACTTATGTTTTATGTGTCCTGTTGTGGATTATGTAATAGTTACCTGTGGTAGCCCTGCAGTGATACATGCTTAAAGCACACTGGAGGGGATCACATTTTATTTAACATTTCACAAGATGATGAATGGACTTTTCATGACCACTTAGTCTATCCCTGAACTAAACAGTAATAAAGTTTAAAAGCTTTTTTATTCCAAGCACTGTGGTGATACAAATAAATAGCAACGTCACTGTAAACACTCGCTTCTCGCTCATCTTATGAGATCTTACTTGAGAAACTGCTCATCAGGCCTCGACATGAAACCAGACAAACAGATGGAAGTCAGAGCTTGTATTCAGTTTTCTGCAAAATGTGGTTTGAAACTCTTAATTGCCTACAACAGCTAAAGGCATCAGCCAATAAAAATGGCTCTCAGTAGAGCGCATACCTCCAACAAGGCCCAACAAGGCCCAATCTCTGTAAAACACCTCTCGCAATGATAAAGAAAAATGTCATGGGTTCCCATCTTCCACCATGTTTTGTGGAAACTTAGGTCGTTTTTTGCGAAATCCAGCTGACAAACAAATAAACCAACCAACCAACCAACCAACCAACCAACCGACCAACCAACAGACAGATGTGAAACTGAACCTCCTTGGCGGGAGAAGATATTGATGACAACTGTCTTACAATAATTATCCACAGCTCTGAACACTCATAGTTAAAGAATGCAACATCCTATAAAGAGAAAGGACTTAGGTGAGGGAGAAAGTAGAATTTCCTAAATGAAAGGTTCAGCGTCCACCTGGCAAACGCTGCTCACAGATTACTTGAAATAACCCGGACAGATGGTTCAGAGCTTTGTTGCTTGAGTTGAATTCTACTTCCAGTTAATATACCAACTTTCACTTTAAGTGTGATTAGTATTTCCTGGGATGTGCAGCATAAGAGCAGCAGAAAGAAAAGGCTGTTTGGACAAATCGCATTAAAAGGGAACATTGAATGGTTGCTCGAACTTTAAGTCATAAAACGTAACTGGTCTTGCTTAAACAAACCTTAGATTTCTCAAGCTTTTTGGTAGCATTTGTTTTTGTCTATGCTGAAAAGCCTGAGTTCACACATCTCTTCCTGAGGGTGGTGGGAAGAGCTGCAGACGTAATAGACATCTAAGTGGAAATTAAATGCCTTAAATGTGTAAGAATGTAATTGTTATTCTCATTAATGCAATACGATAATAACACTGTGCCGCTCAGTCAGAGACGAGATCATCAGAGGACATTTCCTCCAATCTTCCTGCAGAGTTGCAGCAATTAATAATCGACTGTTGTGGTGTTATTGGATTGTGCCGTATGCCATTGCAGGAGTCCAGCTGTTAGAAATGCACAGACATGCAGAG